GAGTGTAGGATACAATGTTACAGCTGCCGAAAAGGTGCAGAGAGAGATCAACGTTAACATTAAAGATGTCCATTTAAAAGTCTGATAATAGCGGGGAAGAAGTTGTTCTTGAATCTGCTCGTATGTGTTTACAGTTGCCCAGTTACCACCCTTGACGACAGTTACAGGCTCAGCACAAAGAGGAAAACAGTCAAATCTGTATCAACTATCAACTACCTTTTTTAGTTTAGTTAGAACAGAGATACAATTCACACTGGTTAAGAAAGAGTTAAAAGCAGATACACAATTGATACAAAACTAAAATCTATGCGCACACCCAATAGGTTTCGCTGATGTTCCTTGAATAGTCACAGAACATAAAGGCTAATACTCAAGAATAGGAAGTCTTGCTGTCTAGGCGATCCCTCAAGTCTGCGATGTAGTCACTGTGCTTCCAACGTAGGGTCCTCCACTTGGGTGAATGTTGATTTCCGGAGTTTCTATTGGCTGCACACCCCAAATAATTCATTTTTCTCCTTTCTCCTTCCCAAACTGTGCTGTCTTGCTGTCGTTGGTTCTGGCTCATCTGCCGAGCCTGTGTCCTTTTTATTAAAGGCTGTGGCCCAAGGGCACTGGTAGTATTACCTCATTACTCTTCCATTAAATAAGGATTTGTATGTTATGTCACGACTTTTGTTTTCCTCTGAGCTGAATCAGTTCCAACCAGGCCAAGCCAGCAGCTGGGGCTCGAGTTACTTCAGTTCACCAACTACTGTTTTTACGTGCGAGCTGTCCCTGACCAACAATACCAAGTTTGATACTCTCTTCTACCCTCTTCCGTCAGGGAGAAGGTATAACTGGGGTTGGGGTTTTGATTATTAAGAAAGTCCAGATGAAGTCAGTAGATAGGAGGCTGGTTGTATGATGGACTGGGCTGTGTTTACAACTCTCTACAGTTTCTTGTGGTCTTGGGCAGTGTAGTTGCCATACCATGCTGTGATGCGTCCAGATAGGATGCTTTCTATAGGGGCTTTATAAAAAATTTGTAAGAGGTTTTATGGATGTACCAAGTTTCCTTAGCCGCCTGAGGAAATAGAGGTGTTGCTGTGCTTTCCTGGCTGAAGTGTCAATGTGGGTAGACCAGGACAGATTAGTGATCATCGCTCTGTAGCCCTATACTCATCCCTGGGATATCTGGATGACCTAAATACCTATCTCAGGCTCCTACTTATCAACTACAGCTCTCCCTTCAGCCACTGTAATTGCCTCCAGACTAATCTCAACCTCCGAGACCTAGGTCTCAGCTCCGCCCTCTGCAACTGGATTCTCAGCTTCCTGACCCGCAGACTGCAATCAGTGAAGATAGACAACTGCACCACCTCCACGATAATCTTCAACACTGGAGCCCCCCCCCCCTCAAGGATGTGTTCTCAGGCTCCCCCAACTGTACACCCTGTATACCCACGACACTGTGTAGCCAAATTTTCAATGAATGCCATCCACAGGTTGGCTGACAACACCACCGTGGTAGGACGGATATCCAACAAGGATGAGTCAAAACGCGGGAAGGATACAGAGGACTTGATGTCATGGTGCAATGATAACAACCTCTCTCAATTTTGTCAAAACCGAAGAACAAATCATTGACTTCAGGAAGAAGGGCGGAGGACACATGCCCACCTATATCAATGGAGCAGAGGTGGAGAGGGTAGAGAGCGTCAAGTTCCTAGCAATGATGATAACTGACAATCTGTCCAGGACTTCCAATGTAGATGTGACGGTCAAAAAGGCACAACAACACCTCTTCCTCAAGAGGCTTGGGAAATTCGGCATGTCTGTAAGGACCCTCACTGATGCACCACAGAAAGCATGGTGTCTGGTTGCATAATGGTCTGGTATGCAAATTGCTCTGCCCAGAACCATAACAAACTACAGAAGGTTGTGTGCATAGCCCAGACCATCACGGAAGTCAACTCTCCATCCATGGACTCCATTTACACTACTTGTTGCCGCAGAAAGGCTGCCAACATCATCAAAGACCCCTCCCATCCCGGTAATGCTCTCCTACAACCTCTTCCATCAGGCAGGAGATACAGAAACTTGAACACATGCACCAACAGGTTCACGAACAGCCTTTTCCCTGCCATTGTTAGACTGCTGAATGGACTCTAGCTTCAAATAATGTTGATCGTTTTAATGTTAATTGGTTTTGCACCCCCTCCTGCAGTTGTAACTTTATGCTCTGCTCTGTATCAGCACCCTATGATCTGTATGTCCTTGTTTGCTATGATCTGCCTGTACTGCTCACAAAACAAAGCTTTTCACTGTACTTGGATACATGTGACTGCAATAAATCAAATCAAATCTTGACCATCAGCACCTTTGCACCATCAATGCATACAGTGGCCTTCTGTTCTGCTTTCTGAAGTCAATGACCAACTCCTTTGTTTTGCTGATCTTTGATGAAGAGATTGTTGTCTTTATTCCATGCTAATAAGCACTCTCATCTCCTTCCTATACTCCGTCTCATCGTTGTTTGAGATCTGACCTACAACAGTAGTGTCCGTTAGTAAATTTATAAATTAAGTTGGTGCAGAATTGTGTGTATAAGGAGTATAGTAGGGTACTGAGTACACAGCCCTGAGGATTATCGTGGAGGAGGTGTTCTTGCCTATCCTTATTGACTGTGGTCTGTTTGGTCGGAAGTTAATAATCCAGTTACAGAGGGGTTGAGCAGAGACCTAGGTCCCAGAGTTTGAAGATGAGTTTGTTTGGAGTTATGGTGTTGAAGGTGGAGCTGTAGTCAATACATGGGAGCCTGACATAGGTATCCTTGTTGCCTAGGTGTTCTAGGGATGAGTGCAGAGCCAGGGAGGTGGTGTCTGCCATGGACCTGCTGTGCCATTACGCGAATTGCAAGGAATCAAGGCAGTCCGGGAGGCTTGAGTTAATGCTGAGCCATGACTAATTTGTCAAAGCAATTCATAATTAAAGATGTTAGAGCTACCGGGCACGTGATAGTCATTGAGGCACATTGCATGATATTTTCTTTTGCACTGGGATGATGGTTAATTCAAAAAATGGTGTAAAGCTTATTCATATTCCTTTGTCTGCAGACAACCAGTCCCTGAATATGACTCTTCCTGTTTTTTTTTTCCAGCATGAAGAAATGAGCTGTGTTACCATCTCAGTGTATGATCCTAATTTTTTATTGTAGCTGTTAGTACACTCAGGATAAATTTCAAGGTCGTAGCAGTGCTCATGCAGACCATTCTACCATTCCTCATCACCTGAGTTACAAGTCTGTGGCAGTTTGCCAAATGTGCATTTTTGTTTTTTTTTGTGTTTCATGAAGGTTTAGTCAAGTGTGGCGCTCTTATTCATGTAATCTTATGCCATTTACTTAAAGGGAAGAACGACAAGACTGCATTTGTAACAAGGCTAATCCTAATACTGATTATTCTGAAACAAAGTTGGACAAAAAAAATTATACATGTATATGAACAATTCCATGTTAATATTTTATCATAGTTATGTATCAATTACAATGAGGGGAGGTAATGGTCTAGTGGAATTATTGCTGGACTGTTAATCCAGAGACCCAGATAATATTCTGGGGACCTGGCTTCGAATCCCGCCACGGCAAATGGAGGATTTTGAATTCAATACATATCTGGAATCAGGAATCTAATGATGACTGTGAATCCGTTGTTGTTTGTTGGAAAAACCCATCTGGTTCACTAATGTCCTTCAGGGAAGGAAACTGCTATTCTTACCTGGTCTGGCCTACGTGTGACTCCAGATCAACAGCAATGTGGTTGACTCTTAACTGCCCTCTGGGCAATTAGGAATGGGCAATAAACGCTGCCTAGCCAGTGACACCCTCATTCCGTGGATGAATAAAGAAAAAATAAAATCTTAGGGTAGAAACTTTCAACAGTGGCATCATGACTGTCACTTGGAGATGTTGGGAAAACTGCTTTCAGCCAAGCAGCTTTGATCGTACATGTGAACACACTGAGAAATGTCTGTCTTACGTTTTCTTTCCATGCACTTGACCTCTGTTCACCTTTTTTTATTCCATTGAAATGCCAAGGTAATTACCTTTCTGGCTCCTTGTGTGTCCTTTTAGACGTTTTTTTTCAGAATTCCTCTTGCTTCCTGTACAATATGGAACAATTTAGCATAGCTAATCCACCTAACCCCACATCTTTGGACTGTGGGAGGAAACCGGACCACCCAGCGGAAACCCGTGCAGACGTGGGGAGAATATACAAGCTTGACATGGTCACCCAAGACTGGAATCAAACCATGGTGTTGTAAGGCAGCAGTGCTAACCACAGAGTCACCGTACCATTGTGGGTGTTTTGGGGGCCTACAATGATCAACTTTGTGCTTCCCCCTGTGCATTTAGACGACTGATAGGTGTATGGCATGAGGAATGCTGCTTGTATTGGAAATCATTGTTTAGGATGAAAAGCCTGTTTCTGTCATTGATTCATGTGGCCTGTACAGAAATTGCGCATTATTGATTTTAGAATTAGATTTAGACTTTATTGTCACGTCCTCAAGTACAAAAGCACAGGAGTACAGTGAAAAGTTTGCAATGCCACCACACACCTTACCATCTTGGGTACAAATACTTAGGTACAAGGTAGAAAGAATTAAGGAGCAAGGTTAAAAGCTCAGTATTACAATTACTCTGAAATTAGCGTTTCAAAAAAAGTTAAGTTAAACATTAAACATTTCTTCTTAGTATTAAGTCGAAAAATTTAAAAAAAGTTAAAAGCTGAAAGAACTTGTGAATTGAGGCACAACTGGTAACTAGAACAAGAGACTGTCTGTCTGCTGAATGGCACAGTAACTATCATATTGTTATTTTACATTAAATAGTTTCTCTACCTTTCTGTTTTTGGAATACGAGAAGCTCCATCAGAACACTTTTTAGTGTATTTTGATAAAATAGATGTTCTTCTATATATATGTATACATGTAAACAGCTTTTTCTTGTTTAATTGTAGGAAGAATGTAAACAAATATTGGCTCGCCAGAAGTCCAATTCTCAGTCGGACTCTCATGATGATGAGATTTCACCACCACCTCCAAATCCAGTTGTAAAAGCAAGACATAGAAGAGGTGGTGTGAGTGCTGAAGTATATACTGAAGAAGATGCAGTATCTTATGTTCGAAAGGTATGGCCTATTTCCATTGAGAATGCAAATAATAGTTGAAGTATTATTAGTTTGATTCATAGGTAAGCTATTTTGAAATATTTTGACACAGTTCTTCAAATTTTCACTTCAAGAAAATGCTGCAGTGCTTAGTACTGAGCTCTTCCTGTTTGTGGTTTCTATTGATGGTTCAGATTTAAATGTAGACCATATGATGAAGAAATTTGTGGATGACACAAATTGATAGGATTGCAAATAATAAGGATAGCTGTAAACTGCAGGAGGAAACAGCAGATTGGTCAGCTGAGCTGAACAGTGGCAAATGGAATTCAACCTGGAATAGTGTGAGGTAATGCACTTGGAGGGGGCTAATGGTAGGACCCTGGATGGTAGTGAATATCATACAGTGTGCAAGTCCACAGATCCCTGAAGGTAGCAGGGTAGATAGACAAGGTGGTAAGAAGGCATAAAGCTCACTTACCTATATTAATTGGAACATAGAATATTTTATCATAGTTATGTATCAATTACAATGAGGGGAGGTAATGGTCTAGTGGTATTATTGCTGGACTGTTAATCCAGAGACCCAGATAATATTCTGGAGACCTGGCTTCAAATCCCGCCACGGCAAATGGAGGATTTTGAATTCAATACACATCTGGAATCAGGAATACAAGAGCAAGTTATGCTAGACTGATATAAAATGCTCATTAGGCCACAGCTAGAGTAATGGTTGCACTTCTGGTCACCACATTCTAGAAATGTTATAGTTGCCTTAGTGATCATGCAGAGGAGATTTAACAGGATGCTGCCTGGGCTGGAGGGTCTGAGCTGTGAGCAAAGATTGGGAAGGCTGAGGTTTTTTTTCCCTTGGAGCAGCAAAGTTTGAGAAGGGACCTAATGAAGGTGTATAAAGTGGAAGGGCATAGGGTGGATAGGAAGATACTTTTCCATTTAATAGAGGAATCAATAACCTGGAATAATAATCAATAATCCATAGATTTAAGCAAAGAAGTAGAAATCTAGGAGGAGAGTTGAGGAGGCGCTTTCTCATTGAGGGTGTTGGGAATCTGGAACTCTGCCCAAAAGGGTGGTTGAATCGGAAGCTCTCATAACATTTAGGAAGTATTAAGATGCCACTTGCATTTCCAAAGCCTCCAGATGAATGGGTCAAGAGCTGAAAAATGCGATTAATGTAATCAGATCTTTGTTGACACAATGGCTCAAACAGCCTCCTTCTTTGCTGTAAATATCAATGAGTCTGTTAGATCCACAAAATAGCAAGAAAAAAAGATGCATCTTCTGTTTAAACCCCATTATCAGGATTCTTTTTAAAAGCTTATTTGTGACTATACTTTGGCTTTAAGAGGTGTATTTTGACCTGTTTTCTTTGAGAGGTTGAGACAGAGATGATGGGTGATCTGTTCCAAGCCAATAGACTAAACAGCTTGTGAGGCTTTGGGGTTTTTTTGTTAACAATTGGAACAATAGAAGCAGCATGAATGGATAAGTCAGGCTCCCATAGCTTTCAGTAGTTGCTGGGCTATTGAAGCTGAATGTGGATGCTCTTATTCCTCTCTGTCTGTTATAGCTAAAAGCTGGGGTTCTCTCTGCTGCAAAAATTACATGTGAGACAATCTTTTTACTGAATTTGTCTTTGCCATGTGTGTGTATGGGATGCTACTATATTGGAACAGTTGCTATTTAGTCGTTAAATAATCTATTGTTCTGTTAAGTTTTCCAATAGGGTAGTTATTCCAATTTTTTATTTTGTTTTGTATTGTGTTTTAACTACAGGGTAAGCAGAAAGTGTGTTTTGCTTTAAAGCTGAGTAGTGTAACCAGTTGAATTACATCTGGAACAGAGGACCTTACACTTGCCTTTAAATAAGGTAAAAGTTAGGGTCTAGGCTAGCTCCTTGATATATTCAAGGGGAATTCGGTCTGGTCCGTAACATTACAGTTGAGAATTTGCTGTGCAAGTGTTTTGGAAGGAGATTAATTTGAATTTGTAGATCCATTATGAGTACTAATTGTGTTAAGTTCTATTGAGTCAAAACAGTCATGAGTATGGCTGTGATGAGAGGTGGAAGTTCTGTAGCATTTTGTCATAGATCTTGTTTATGGTTAAGTTGATGTTGAGCAGCACTGGTCTGTGTTTTCCTGACTTGGAACAGCTTGTGTAAATCCTTGAGCATAAACTTGACCACGTTAAATAGGTCATATGAAATAATTTTTTTCTACTTTGTTATTGTGAAGCAACATCTTTAAATGTAGTTCTGTCCTTAATTACATTGCAATTGAGATATTGCAGGTGTTAACCCTTGTGTGCCAGACTATTACGTTGGTTGCCAGGCTGCTCCTTTTATTTTTATGTTCCACTGAGTGAATAACTCACCAATGTATTGGATTATGTGTTAATAAACATTCTACTTCTGGAAAACCTAAATCTTAATAAATTGTATCACAGTTGGCTGTAAGTTTAATTCATGACAATAGGATGACAGCGTCCAACAGTAGATTTCATTTTCCTTTATTGTTTCATAGGTCATACCAAAGGACTACAAGACAATGACTGCACTTGCAAAAGCTATTTCTAAAAATGTTCTTTTTGCTCATCTTGATGATAATGAACGAAGGTAGGTGAATGAATGACATAGATGCAATTATTGCTCACATTTACAATTTATTCCCTTGCTGTGTTTTTAATTGCCTTTTTACTGTGCCTTCCACCCTTGTCTCTGCCTGAAAGCAGGATACAATGTTAACGTTAATCTGGCTTCTTTGGTTCAGCTATTAATTGTGGTCTGGTTGAATAAAGGTTATTGAATTATAGAATCATACAGTACAGAAGATACCCTTCTGCCCATCATGCCTGTATTGTCAAAAATACACTACTACCTGCACTAGTCCCACTTTCCCACACTAGGCCCATAGTCTTCAATGTTATAGCATTTCACATGCTCATCCAAGTACTTTTTTTTAAAAAAAGTAATCATGTTATTTAAGATTTGCTGTTACCCTTCACTCTTTACATAGTGCAGTTCGTTCCTCTTGTGACATTTTTTTTCTTTAATTACCGAAACACAGTGATACATAAATGCCTACATTGTCAGAAGGCAAATTTCTTTGGTCAAATGTTTAAGCTGATTAAATATGATCTTGATATAGAAAACTTTGATTAGGGTATGAAGACTATCATAATTATATAAATAAGATTGTAAAATTTCTTGTTTTCTTTTTCCCTTTTTTTTTAATCAACTTTTTGTCTGAAAGTACGTTCAGATAATATTATACTAGCACAAAAAGGCTTTTGTGCTCAGAAAAACAGTGGCTGCAATGCCCAAAAGTGCACTGTGCACCTGCTGCTCGTGTACTGTAGGTAGAATTTGTGGTCACCCAATGGAATTCTGGCTGCATAACAGGATTCTGATAATATCTTGGTGTAGTAATTTTTCACAAAATTTCATTTTGCATTTCTGAAATTTACTTAACGTTTCTATCCGTTTTCAAAATTGGAAAATCATGTTAAATATTTACAAGTGTATCTTTGTTTTCTGTTGGTGTCCAATTTTGTACTTTTTAAATTAAATCATGGAGTGTGGGCATCACAGGCTAGCCCAGAGGGGAGTTAAGAGTAGCTGTGGGTTTGGACTGACATGCAGTTCTGACCAAGAAAGGGATGGCAGTTTGCTTCCCTAAAGGAAGTAGTTGGGTTTTTCTGACAATTGACAAAGCTTCACTTTAACCACCACGGCGCTTATTTCCAGATTTTTTTTTTTAGTTGAATTCAAATTGTGCCATCCGGCCTTACCTGGGTGTCTGGATTAGTGCTCTCACAACTAATACATTTTACCATCACTTCCTCTTGCCTGCATAATCTTGTACTATTTGATTTCTGTGTTTGAAATCACTAGTGTAGGCTTTGCATCAGTTTTAGCAGTAATCAATTTATGTTTACTTTTATTTTTCAACTTTAAAAATAAATGGCCTTCGGTATTGTCAAGACCATTCATAGGTATCTCTGGAATCACCCTTGATTGGAAAATGGGTGTCTTGGATCCTCTCATTTAAGTGGTGCCAGTGGACAAAATTTTTCATAAAGCAATCATTCTCTGGGACTGCCGGTGGAAATGGTTGCTGTTTGCACCATGTGTCTGAAAGCAGAAATTATGCGTTTCATTTGATAGTTTACACAAATAATCAATGCAGTTTCATTTAACTTGGCCTGTGGAAAATTAGTTTTTTGAATTTCTGGGAGGATTATTACATGTTCTACCTCAAATGTTCAGTGTTAGTTTGTTAGTCATTTCCTTCTTAAACAAGTATCAGAATTCCACAAACCCCACAATCCATGCATAATGATCTAGGAGCAGAAAGGATTGTTGCCATGTACTGATTCTGTTTTTCTCAGGTTGTTGAAGTGCTGCTTGCATATACGACACATGTCCTGACCAGTGATAAGCCTGCATTGATAATCTCAATTAAAATTATACTTTAACCTTTGGGATCGAGATATGATGAAAGATTACAGAAGCTAACTGTGTTCCCTGGATTTTATGGAGATTAAGTGAAAATTTGAATCATCGAATCCCTACAGAGTGGAAACAGGCAGTTTGGCCCATCGAATCCGCATTGAACCTCTGAAGAACATCCCGCCCACGTGCATCCGCCAACCTATAACCAAGCATTTCCCATGATTAACCCACCTAGCCTGCACATTGCTGGACACAATGGACAATTTGGCATGGCCAATCCACCTAACGTGCACACCTTTCAACTACGGGAGGAAATCGGAGCACCCGGAAGAAACCTTCACAGACATCAGAGACTGTGCAAACTCCACACAGCCAGTCACCTGAAGGTGGAATTAAACCTGGGTCCCTGGCACTGTGAGGCAGCAGTGCTAACCACTGAGCCACCATGTTGTCCTTTGATTGATTGAAATCTTTTAAGATCTAAAGGGAAACAAGGTAGATAGAGAAAATATGTATCTGCTGCTTTTTTTTTTGATGCGCAGGCCACTGAATGTAGCCTTTGCAGCTGAGAAGGAGCATTGCTTGAGGAATCCAGGATTAAGGGGCCTATAGAAATTACACCCAGTCTTTTAGGAGTGAAATTAGGAAAATCCCGAATTCTGCTTACATAGGGTAGTAGAATTTTGGAACTCTTCCACAAATGGAGATTAATGCTTAAAAATTGTTAATTTTTAAAATTGACATTTGTTAGACTACATAAAAAAGGGTTATGTGGACAAAGATGGATTGTGCAAATTAAGTGGCAGATCAGCCACAATGTTGGAGCAGGGTTGAGGGGTGAACAGTCCTGTGTTCAACAGTCTTTTTTTCACAGTCTTACTGGCGGTGAAGGAAACGTAATTAAAACAGTGTGAGTGTAGCACTGGTACACCAGACTAATTCCTTGGATAGCGGGACTGTCCACTGAGGAGATATCGGAAAAACTGGCTCTGTATCCTCTTGAGTTTACATGAATGAGAAGAGAAATCACAGAAGGTTACATAGTTGTTAGTGGGATACACAGGGTAGAAGTGCAGAAAGGTTGTTTCCCCAGTTGTAGCAGCGTTCAAGCCAGACAAGACATTCTCGAGATAAGGGGCAAGCCATTTAGGACAAAAGTTAGGAGGAATTTCTTTACCCATAAGGTAGTAACTATTTTGGAATAAGCATGCTGTGGAAGCTAAGTTATTTAAGTATATTCAAGACGGAGATCGATAGATTTTTTTTATTATCACTGACATTAAAGGACGTGGGGATTATGCAGGATAATAGTATTGAGGTAGGTGGTCAGTTATGATTTACTATTGGAATGTGCTAAAGGTTGCATGGCCTGCTACTTGTTGAGATCTTCACGATTTTATTGTTTTTGATTTGTAGCTGTAAATTGAGAAGTGAAAGGTGAAGATGACCTTTGGACTATGAGCAGCACCTTGCTTTTAAAAATTAAGAAGAGAACAAACTGATTTTGTTCATGAGGCCAGGCCTGGAGTTTAATTACTAGTTGATTCTTGTTCAAAGTGCTGTGTCAATCTTTTGACTCTAGAGAAGCATAATGCTCAAACAGATGGCAAATATTTTGATGTTAACAGGGGTTTCACAGGGAGTTGTGGAGTTATTTGGTCAAACAAAAAATGTTGGAAATAACGAAAAGAGAAATCAAAGTTTGAATAGTTTTAAACTTTTGTTAGCAGGATTGTTGCTGCTTAAGCTACAGGACAGAGGTATGATTGTCTCCTGATTATTGAATGTTTGGAGGATAGAACCTCAGTTATAAGAATTAAATGAATATTCCTTGGAATCTGCTGGAAGCTGTTTGCTGTGATTGGTCTCTTCAGAAACGAGGCAACATACACTCCTAGGTGCCTGTGCTAATACAAATTGTGAAGATTGCTTAAGTGAAGGGGCCAATTCCATCTCTTTTATTTTTCTTTTGATTTATCCCTTAACTTTGTGTTTGTCTCAGTCTCTGTGTGAACGGGGCCTAGAAATGGGGAAAAAAAAGATTTAAACCATAGATATTAACTAAATTACCTGTTGCTTTAACTTTGTCGTGCGAAAGCTGCTATAATTAAAAATAGTTAATTATTTTGTTTAAGTTATAAACTTGGTGCCTGTATTCAAAAAGTTGGGTTAACAACCATTGGGACAATTTTGAGGCTCATTGAGTATTTGGTTTAATCTGTGTTATGAATATAGGGATAGGGAGGCTGATTTGATTTGGCTGCCTGTCTCCATCTTATAACGTACTCCTTTTGAATAGTTGCACATTTGTTGGGAAACCAATTCTTTCTTTGTGTTTTTTAAAGGGCTCATTGCACTTTTTTGATGAGTGGCTTTTAGTTAACAAATAAGATGAGCACTGAAATTTTTAAATAAAGTGGGTCTTGCAAGTTTGGAGAAGCTGAAGATGTTGATCAATGACATGCTTGCAGTAGATGATTTAATGAAAGTTTGAAATGGCAGAGAGTATCAACAGTTTCAGGAGCAATCAAAAACTGTAGTACTGTATAATGTGTAAAAGTTGACTTTCTGAGATCATACATTAGCCTGCAAGTGCGAGGTTGACTTAGACATGGGCAGTATTTTTAGAATTGAAATCCATCCTCTCCTATTGACTGTCCACCTATCCGTTTAGACTTTTGCATGAGATGGACCGTCGTTTGAATATATACAGCAGGGTTTGCAAACAAAAGACTGCAGTTTCTCTCTCTCTTAAATTTAGATTAGCTTCTCTCCCATACTGCTGATTTCTTGTTATCTTCTGTCTAACTGAGTTTACTTGTTTGAATTCCCAAGTCTTTGGGCTGCGGAGTTGTTCATTGTTATAGATGAATTTAATCTAAATTCCTCCTGACCAGGGGAGGGAGTGACCTGGAACATTCAACTCAATTGAATTTGTTTTTGTCTTCAACCACTCCTATCTTTGCAAGGCACCAAATACCAGCCGACTGGATTTTCTTCAAAGTGTGTGCAACAGGTAGCCAGTATTGTGGTAGAGCAATATGATCAATATTTTTAATTTGTAGGGAAAAGTGCAATCTAGTAATATTATTTATTACTGTGTGTTGTACAGTAACAAACCATCATGAAAACTGACGATAGGAATGGAAATATCTCCAAAT